TACTCCGTCCTCTCAACTCCATTTATAGTCAACACAGAAACTGTCTCAGTGGTTGTTAGGACATATAATATGTTGATTTAAGAGTTTTTATTTTTGTGAGTTGATTTGCAACAGCTGTGTTATTATAAATATTTCTGCAGACATTTTGTCTCCTCCTCAACACCAGCTTTGATTTTTTTTGCCAAAAGTATTTCATCTTAAAGGGGAAGTTCCGTTTTTTACAACCTGGACCTTATTTCTGGCATTAAATACGGTTGTTTACTCACCCAGATAAGTTTGGTGTCATTTGGAGTCCTTCGGAAGATATTTAGATCTGCGAGAGCCGCGTACATCCATATAGTGGGAATGATCGGGGCACCGGCAATGAGGCTCTAAATAACACATTATCTGCTGCGAAACTCGTTCATTTCACCAATATGTTTTTATGAATCGCTAGAGTTACTTGTCATCATCATCCGGGTCATTTATACTGACCTACTAACCTCTGACCTGGATGATGTCAGGCTACGAGTCTGCACTGCCTATAGGACAGAGGGTCAAGTTGATTAGAAGAAAGTAAATACAGAGGAGGGAGAAAAGTGTGCGCTCTTGAAGTCCGGCTTTCTATGCGTAAAGCCAAAGACTGAGTGTCAAATGGCTTGTGTAGAATGGTCTGCACACTGCAAAAAAAATCAGAGGCAATTCGTAAAGACAATCCTCTTTACCACCGAAACGTTCACCTTTCTGTTTCTCACTTTTTGTCACTGAGCACTATGTAATAATAAATTCACGTTTTGCATAAGAAGCGCCTCTGCTTTTTGTGCAGTGTGAGGGCCATTCTACACAAGCGATGAGAAGAAACTAAAGAAATGTAAAGTCTCATAGTTATTTACTCATCAAGCAAACAAATTCAAGGAAAATAAACAATTTATGCATGTGTGTAGGCTACTTACTCAATCGAAAGTTGCCTGTTCGGTCCTGCAGGCTTTGGCTGGGTCTTCCAGTTTACTTTACAACAGCACGGTTGATCATAGAAGTGAAATCCTCTGTAGTTGTGTCATTTCTGGAGACATCCAGACATGTATCTCCTGGCCTCAAATCCCACTCGGAGCAACAAAGGCATTCCTCCTCTGTTGGCATAGTGGAACATTGTCCACAAGAACACCACCAGTTAGCATCTATTCTCGGACGTGCAGCGGTTTGTTGTTCTCTGGCCAGCTGGTCCTCTCTCTGCCTCCGCATCCTCCTTTCAAAGAGCTCCTCATCCGTAAACTCTGGCTCAAAACGGTAAGGACGTCATCATATTCAAAGTCGTCGTCCACAACCTCAAAATCTGACAAATATTCAGCCATGTTTCAAAAAACTAACAGTAGCAAATTCCAAAACGAGTTTCGCGGCAGATAATGTGTTATTTAGAGTCTCACTGTCGGTGCCCCGATCATTCCCACTATATGGATGTACGCGGCTCTCGCGGATCTAAATATCTTCCGAAGGACTCCAAATGACACCAAACTTATCTAGGTGAGTAAACAACTGTATTTAATGCCAGAAATAAGGTCCAGGTTGTAAAAAACTGAACTTCCCCTTTAAATGACGACACAATTAAACTCACAACCGACACCCCCTGCTGTTTCCGAACCAAGTGTTCCTTTATATTCTGAGTGGAGACAAAAATGAATCAATGCAGCCGCCATTCTGAAAAGATGAAGCCACAAATTATCACCTGCATTCAACCTCAGTGAAATGAACCACTTCAAAAAACTCAGTGTCGTCTTAAGCAGCACACAAGATTACATTTGATGCAGGATGATTGTTTTTAAATTACAGTGAGATTCCAAATGTTTAATTCAATACACTGTAATTTTGCTTTATTGAAAATTCCCTTCAAAAAGTTAGTGACTGCAGCTCTGAAAGCCGTCCGTGCTCCGCAGCATCGATTAGAAACATTAAACTTGTCATGTAATCGCCCAGATTGACTCATTTCAGTAACGAAGTCACAGCTGTGATGAGGCACGGAGGAACTGTGCAGGTCTGTTGTTGAGTTAAAGAACAATTAAAGTGAGACTTGTCACACTGCCTTCGTTTGTTGTTCACATTGATTTAATAAAGGAAGCTGCAGCTTTTCACTCGAACCACAGACTGATGATAAATATGATGAAAGATTTTCTAAAGCATTCTGGACAGGTTAACATTCTCTTCTTAGTATTATGATTGTTTTTATGCACTTTTGAGATTCTATACACGTCTGCAGGGGGCGCTGTTGTTCTATAAAAAGGAGCGTTCTATGTCCACAGTAATTAATGAATTGTTAAGGTTCACTACAGCTGCGTCTGGCGTTCTGCTGCTTCGTCTGTGCCCAGTTAACGTTCTGTGCTCTGAGGATGAGGTGTTCAGTTTTTAATTTGGGCTATAAATCATGTTGTTTGTGACCTGGTTTAAAACACAAAGCTTCAACAAGACCTGATTGTGTCTTTTGCTCGACTTGGTCGACTAATTATTTTAATTTGTACAGATTTTTCTGACATTATGACTTTTTAATTAATTTTTTGACTAACTATGCTTTACCTTTGTCATAACATTCAATACTATTGCTTTTTGGCAACTTCCTATACCGTGACCATTTATTAATGAATATACTGTGATTTATCTTTTTTTTTTTCATGACACACTATATGATGAGATTTTCATTACATTCAACACTATGACTTTTTTGTTTTTAAGAATATTATTGTGACATGCTATACTATGACATTTTTTTCATGATTTCGGACGACATACTATACTATGATTTTTTTTAAATTATTTCAGATGACATGCTGTACTATGATTTTTTTTCATGATTTCGGACGACATACTATACTATGACGTGTTTTTTTTTTCATGATTTCGGACGACATGCTATACTATGACATTTTTTCATGATTCTGGACGACATGCTATACGATTATTTTTTTTTCATGATTTTTGACGACATGCTATACTATGATTTTTTTTTTCATGATTTCGGACAACATACTATACTATGGGTTTTTTTTTATGATTTTTGACGACATGCTATACTATGACTTTTTTTTTTAATTATTTCAGACGACATGCTATACTATGATTTTTTTTCATGATTTCGGACGACATGCTATACTAAAGTTTTTTTTTTTATGATTTTTGATGACATGCTATACTAAGATTTTTTTTTAATTATTTCAGACGACATGCTATACTATGATTTCTTTCATGATTTCGGACGACATACTATACTATGACGTGTTTTTTTTTTCATGATTTTTGACGACATGCTATACTATGATTTTTTTTTC